ATTTCTTCTGTATATCTTTCTGAAAACACATTTATTGTAGCAGCAGGGGGCGGGGATCTGAAGTCTTCATACAGCCTACAGATCTGAGCCCTGATTGGAGGGAAGGGACACACCTCCCTTCACACAGTACACAGAACAAGCACAGCTATGGATACCAGTCACAGACTGCAGCTTGCTCCCAGTCACCATTTTAACTCTTGGTGTCAGGAAATGCTGGCAGAACTGGGTCATACTGATCACAGGGGAACCACAGATAGAAATAATATTCATAGCTTTGGAGAAAGACAAGCTCACTGTGTATAAGGATGTGCTTTTTTCATATTTTATGTTTGAGGTTTACAACCACTTTAACCGTAAACTCCATATGTTGGAGTACTGTACAGGACACAGGACGTGCAGTCATAGACCATGGGCTGTATGTCACTTTTTTTTCAGATGATTGAATACTGGAAAAAGATTTTCTGTGAATGGCATCCACATATAACACCACCCACTCAACTCCAATTTTGTGGCAAGCAATAAAGAGAAACAGAGGACAGGTGGGAGGAACCTTTTTTCTTGTATTAAAAGAAAAAGACTCCAGAGGGAGAGAGAGACATAATTTTGCCCCAGGACAAATCATTGGTAAGACCTCATCTGGAATATGTAGTTCAGTTTTGGGCACCAATTCAAAAAAAGGATAATTGGAGAACTGGAGAAAGTACAGAGAAGTGCAACCAAACTGATAAGAGGCATGGAGGAGATCAGCTATGAGGAAAGATTAGAGGAAAATTAATTTACACTCTCTTTAGAAGAGGAGATTAAGGGGGGATATGATCACCATGTATGAATAAATACATAAGTGAACTATATAATGAACCAAGTGTAAATTTATTAACTTTCAGACATTACAGAGTACAAGGGGACACTCTTTATGTCTGGAGGAAAAGAGATTTAACCCTTACATACAGAAAGGATTCTTCACAATAAGAGCTGTGAAAATGTGGAATAGACTCCCTCAAGAACTAGTTCTGGGTGGGCCTCCGTGCCATTCAACATTTTCTAGCAGAGGATCCCCTCATGAATCCAAGACAGGCACAGTTCATTCTGGAGGCCACCCAATTCTGCCTACAAATCAATTACTTCGAATTCAAAGGACAGTTCTTCCTACAGAGGAATCGCACAGCTGTGGGAGCATACTTTGCCCCTAGTTATGCCAACCTAACCGTGGGTTTATGGGAATAGGAACATATAACCCATAACAATCCTTTTGCCTCCCATATCATATTCTATGGAAGATACATAGATGATATAGTGATCATATGGGATGCCCCCCCCCCCCCCCCCAGACTGTTGACTCCTTCACACAATACTGCAATCAGAATCACCTTGGACTATCTTTCAGCTATGTAGTAGATCCCCACACCCTTGCCTTCCTTGATCTACACCTTTGTCACGCCAATGATAACATTTTCTCAAAAAAACCCATGTCAAACCCACTGCTGGGAACTCATATATTCACTTTTAGAGCTGTCATCACCCGAAACATACAGGATCTACACCTTAGACACCCTAGCCCCAGGAGGGCTTAATAAGGAGATTAAGATACACACTATATTATAATCATCTGTCCATTCCTCCGACAATACCCTAATGTCTATCCTAGCAACGCATCTTCCATACATAGATGTGCATATATTGACATGCGCATATAGTCATATGAGTTTTTTTCTCCCCCCCCCCCTTCTCTTTTCAGTGCCCCCGCATTCATTATCCTGTTTCTTTTTGTTATTGACACTACCGTACATGCAATTTTACATTCATTACCATTTTTATTATCGTTGCTAACAGTATGTGTACACTGTTATACACATATATATCCTTCATAATTTTCTGTTTTATGGTTCTGTGCTCTCTTTTTAATATCATTATATATTTTATAGCTTTGTGCTTTGAGATCATGTTCCACATTGATATGCGTTTTTTCCATGTTACTGTGTCTTTAAATCTCCACTGAGCATTGTTGCTCCACACCTGGTAGTGTCCTCTATTTAAGCTGCTACTCCCCCAAGGTCCACCAGGCCAATAGAAGGAGCTAGAGGCTCCGAGCGCGTAGCCTGACTTTCCCACGTCTGTGCTCTTCCTCCCCACTGACCCTCTTCCTGTGATGTCACATCCTGCCGGAGTGTTCCATGCTGGTTACTAGGCTCCTTCCTGCACAAACGCCACTGCATCGACTCTACAACACCACCATTCTGTAGGATTGACCACTACAGTGTCTCCCACCATCTCCATCAGCCCAGCTGCTATTGCACCAACCTCCGGTGGCACCTGCAGGACGTTTTGAGAAATGGCCATCTTTCATATACACAGATGAGCTTGTTTTATTACTTCCTTTTGTGAGTGTTTTTAATCCTTTGCTATTAAATACAGTGTTATTACTACACTTCTGCCCCTGCATACAGAGCTGGCTTTCTCCGAGGATGGCTGCCGTCTTTTTGTGCTAAAAAGATTCATGGCAAATCGCCTGAGAGACTCTTATAAGGACTTATTGTACACCAATGCATTTACATACCCTGTTTTAAGTACTTGTATGCCGATATTGCCATTATCATCTTTTATTTTTTACTTTATAAATTTCAAAATTTTTAGCCTTTTCACTCTTACACTACTTTACTCCTGTGCGCCAGAGTTACTAGTTTTTTACTATAGGATTGTGTATATGGAGGTTTTCGGTTTATTATTTTTCTATTGGTTGAACTAGATGAACTTATGCCTTATTTGATTCTAACTATGCAACCTGTGTCTTGTACTGTACTCCAATATATGGAATTTACAGACAAGTCAAAATTCCCTTTATCTTATTTGTACAGGACTTGTAAAAATAACTCATAGGACGCCAGCAAGCAATAAACTGAGGGATGGGCATCACTATAGCAAAAAAGAGCAAACAAAAAACAAGGGTCAGTGAAAACAAAAAAAACAAAACAAACAAACAGAAAAATGTAAGCACCTTGCAACTAAAGGCTTGCTTTAGTAGAGGCCTGGAGATCCACCTGGTAAACTTTAAGATATTAAGAACAGAAGACCAGGTGGTGGCTTTGCAGACCTGCATAATGGATGCTTGTTGCAGAAAGGCCCAAGAAGAAGTGACAGATCTGGTGGAGTGGGCCCTGATAGGGAAAGATGGAACTCTTTCCTAGAGGGCAAAAGCCATGGAAACGAGCCACCTAAGCTAACTATCATATAGTGGAAGAGAAAGCAGAATGTCCGTTCTTGGGACCTTCAGGGAGGGGAAAAAAGGGAATCAGTCTTTCTGAAAGAAGATGTTGCAGTGAGGTAAACCCTAACTGCTCTGACCACATTTGGGCAATAAAGTGAAATCACCTTGGCAAGCTTCGGGGAAAGACACAGAGAATGCATACACCAGTCTGAATGGGGACCAAGGAATCACCAAGACATCCACTATAAAAGGGTTTCTTAAATAGGAGTCCAGGAACTGGTGACTCAGAAGTCCATTGCCAATTTTCTTCTCCTAGTATGTAGATGGTCAAGGGAGATGGAATGTGTTTCTCTGCTTAGAAGAGAATCAGGTTTGCTTCCTACAGGGTTGCTGGACTTCTTATTCCCGCTTGATATAAAGCCCACAGCAATGGCATTATCTGACTCTCCTTTACTGGGGTGACCATGTAGGGGAGGAGTCCAGTGTAGGAAAGTCAGTCCATTGGCTCTCAGCTCAAGAATATTAATAGGGAGCGTTAACTCTTGCGGGGACCAGGTGCCCTGGATGGTTAGGAAATTATAGAATCTACCCCATCCCAAAAGGCAGGCATCTGTTGTTACCATCTCAGAGGGAGAGGAGAGGAATGATTTCACAGATTCTAGGGCTGAGTTGAAAAACCACTGAGCCAGGAAGATGTTAGCCTGGCTAGACAGAAGTAATAGGCAACTCAGAGAAGGGATCTCTTTGTCCAACATCATGAGAATGCTGAGCTGTAAAGGTCTGGAATGGAACTGAGAAGAGGCTACCATGAGGCCCAGAACCCTCATGCAGAAGCAAGTCAAGAAATGCCTGGTTGATCTGAGAGTCTGATAGCTGGGCCACCTTTACCTGTGGAAGGAAAATTTTGGTCTGGGACATGTCTAGATTCAGTCATAAATAATCCAGACAATGGGAAAGCTGGAGTACAGACTTGAGGTTGATCAAAAGTTTGAAGGAGCTGGATTGTTCTTTGAATGTCAAATGGCTGAGCAGTAATTTAGTAGGAGGTTGTTTGAGTATCCCGTGACATGGATATCCTGAAGCTCAGCAGGGCCAGAAATAGAGTAAGCTGCGGTCTCCCACAGCAAATGTAGAAAGGGTTGGTGTGCAGGAAAGATGGGAATGTAAAGATAGGCATCTTGAATGTCCACTAATGTCCGAAATTTCCCTGATCTGAGAGAAGTGATGACTGGAAGGGAAGCCAGTGCTGGCGTACAGTGGGGCAAAGGAGGCAACAGTGACCAGAAATGGGTTTTCTAACCAACGCAGTTATCTGCCCCTCAGAAGTAAACCAGCTGGATTTAGTTACTATCATTTAATGGGTGGGTACCATACTATCATATGTCTGTAGGCCTTTGCAGACATCTACCACTCAAGCCTGGCCAAGCCTTTCTAGGTGATGACACATGACTTTCCTCAAAAAAAAAAAAAAAAAATTGCGAACAGCCCTTCCTCCTTCAATGCCAACAATATTAATTTATTCAAAATTTTATATATCAGCATGATTGCTTTGAGGTCAGTTTTATTAGAAACATCCTTGTATAAAGGCACTAGTGGAAAATCAATTGCAGAGGCTTTTTAAAGCATGCCTCTATTTACATTTTCAGTTCTCACACACTGCACCACATTAGTAAACAATAAAGCACGCCATGCTTTTTTTTTCTGACAGACATGTTCATTTTTAGAATTACCTGTTTTAGTAAACTTTCAAAATCGATACATATATTAAATAGATGAGAGAAATTAAAACTAAAAATACCTATCTGTAATCCACTCAGGACGTACAACCTTCTCATCTTTCAGCTCCTTTATTTTGCTGTTCGGGAGATTTGTGGCAATAATGTGTGTTGTTTTAGATCGGGAATAATACACATGATATTGACCTCCATGCAGCATCATTAGATGGCGCAGCTGATCTGCAGTGGGATCTGAAAACAAGAAAAAGAAATGAAATTAGTTTTTATTTTCAACAATGGTCCTTTTTTTTCTTTTTTTTTTTTTCTTAAAGAGAAGTATGGCCAAAGCTCTTTTGGCCATACTTCTCTTTTGGGTCACAATAGTTCCCTTACTTTTGCACTCCTGTGATTCAGTATAAGCTGACAGGGGGCTAAAACCTGCTGTTGGCTGACATCATAGAGCCACTTGGCTCTGGAAAGAGCTCGACCATATTGTCGGGATCAGCCAAACTACCTGATTTAGAGGTAGTTGGGGCATCTGAGAGCTGAAGCCAGCTGCTCCCATCCGCTAGCCAGCCTGGCAATGCAGTGAGCATTGGAGCAGAGAGCGATAACGGACACCACTCATGAAATTGCTCAACTGATGCTGCAAGCATGGAGGTGAGTATGTAGGTTTGTCTGTTTTTTTAAATCTACCCCAATCTTCTCCTTTTAGGGTTGACTTTTCAATGTCAGACAGAACAGAGGCCTTACCAACAGTGAGGTTAGCCTCTGAACTGGGGACCTGCTGACTCCTTTTCTGATTTTCTTGCTGCAAAACGACTGGACAGACCCCTTGCATACTCCAACAAAATACCAATCCTGGCCTTTGTGAAACAACACTTCAGTCTTTGGTGACATCACTAATTTCTTTTGCAAAATGTGCATGGGACATATAAACTGCACTGTAAATGGATCCTTCATTCAGGCCCTGCAACTGAATGGTTTCAAAATCTGGAACACAATAATGGAAATTGCAGCCTATTTTCTGTAGAAATCTCATTGTACCATATTTTGTTTACAACATTAAATGAAATCAATTAATGTTAAAAAAAAAAGAAAAAAAAAAAACACACAGTGGCAGTTCTAAGCTTGATTAGCAATTGGTTTTTCACATACACGCTAAATATTCGGTAACCAAACAGTATACAACATCTTTATCTCCAACATCCCTCTGCTGGGTCAGTCTAACTCTAACACATCGCCCGCCTACTACTCAGAAGCACTATTTGCTTCACTCCTAGATAAAAAGGGACTCTCCAATTCTTAAGTATAAAATTTCATCCCATGTAGGCCCAGAATTTTCCAGACTGACATGACAACTGATTTTTATACTTCAATGGCCAGATGTTCCATAAATAGTATTATTATCCACCATCCCTGGAATAGCTACTAAGATCAAAAGGGCCTTCTATTTTTGCTCTTGTTACCCTTTCATTCTTTTCTCTATCTTTTCTGACTTACTCTTCTCATTCTTTAACCACTTTAGGTGATAGAAACAATGGGTGACTTACCCATTTAGAAGGGCCATAGGACACCTCTGCATTGATACATTAACCTTTAAATTGGAACTACACTGTACCTGAGCACTACAAACATTTAATACATTTATAATATTGAAAACAAATTAAACCATCCACCCATGTTGCCATGCTTTATTTTGTTGAGAAATCACTCAGAAAAACTCTCCCTAACATTTCTGTTTGTGGCCATTTTGATTAAGGGCAGATGATTCATGCAGCATTTACTTTCTGGAATCCATCTACTCTTAGCTCAGGCATAAGGGTGTGCCTAGCTGAAAAAAAAAAAAAAAACCTCCTCCCTTCCTGAAGACACCTGGGATGTATGACATCATTTGCCTAGGCCTGCATACCAGGAAGTAAGAAATGTAAAAAAAAAAAATTAAAATTTAAACAAGTAAATATGATATACTTTCCTATCTACTAATGCTAGCAGCATACGGATTAAAGATAGTCAATGTTGATTGAACGAGTGAAACTCTGCTTTACGTTGTTTTAAAATTTCTAAGAAAAGTTGTTCATGACATAAATGTTTGATAATACTGGCCTATTGTCTCCTTGATTCTTTGGTACTAATTCCTGACTCTTCTTTTTCTGTATGTGTATTTATATCTAAATAATTAATACATCTTTACTAAAATAAAAATATTAGCAGCATCTCCACATTACACAATGCACATACGATAAAGGGGATGAGGTGTCAAATTGTGGAGAGTTTCCTTAACAAAAAGATGTTAAAATGAACCTATAACCTTCTCTCCTCTGTCCCAGAATGCAAACATATTTGCATTTGTACAGCAAACCTTCAGTGAAATCACCAGGCTCCCCACTGGCAGACACAAAAAATAGAATTTACCCAAAGATCAAAATGAAGCCCAAACACATATCTTCAGGGATTGATCCTTGTCATTATATCTGTGCCATGTCCTCTCCTGGAACAGATTTATTGACAACATTCTCATTATATGGGATGATACAAAGGAGTTGTTAATTGAATTTATGCAGAATTTGAATGATAATGCATTCAACCTAGTGTTTACCATGAACTGTGATCAAGCAAAAATTAATTTTTTGAATATCACTATTCAGATTAATGAGGACAGAACATTCGACAGCTCACTTTTATTGCAAGCCTACACTGGGAAACACAAACCTGTGTGTGGGAAGAGTGCACCCTGCTCCCCTTTCTAGGTTGATTCCGTATGGACAATACTTACACATACAGTGAAATTATCCCAATGTGCAGGATTTTAAGAAGGAAGCAGATACTCTTAGACAAAGACTTAGATTGAGATTGTACAGTGGTAAAAGGCATTTAACAGCAGTGGAGCATAAATTGCTTTACAATAATAAGAAAAAGAAATAGAATGAAAACTACCAAACTAAATCTTCAAAAACAGTAGACAACATGAAGAGATTATAGATATTACTGGTAAATATGGTTATCTTTTGCAGGGGGACCTGCAGATATCTAAATTCCTTAAAGGATAGGTTCACCTTTCATAAGATGTTACACCCATTTTCAGGGCGTAACATGTAACATGTTATGACAGCACCCCGCTCCCTGCCGATCTTCCTCTTTAACAGCTAGTGGGGGATCTTCTCTAACCCAAATGTCAAACTCTACCTGTCAAAGTTAAAAAAAAAAAAAAAACATGGCAGAGCAGAGCTCCGCCCGCGATTTTCCTTTGTTAATGAGAAACTACAAGTCCTGACAACCTTAGCGGGTGTCGGCTTGTAGTTCTCAATGAACTACCACAGCGCTGTGGAACGACGTGGTAGTTTAGTGAATCTGCCTGGTAGTATATCTGCTTGCTCTTACATACTGTACGGGAAAGCAGGTATACTGACAGATCTGTAGGAGGCCTGCATAGAACCAACGATCTATGATCAGTGATGCAATGCTTTACAGGCTCCTGCAGCATAAAAAAATAATAAATGCACATTTTTTTTACCTGCCAAAAAAAAGTGCATTTATTATTTTTTACCAAAAGGTGAACTTATCCTTTAAAACACATCCAGAAATTGTATACAAAAAAAATACATCCATACGAGATTCAGTAGTACAAAGTCATTTTTATGAACATAGTGACCCAAGATCCATGCCGATATTATAACACATATACATGTGGTGGGTGTCTACTGCCAATATATATCTCTAAAGGCAAGACCCATACACTTCCAAATGAACATTGACATACTGGGACACATTTTACAACTGTAAGACACATGGAATTGTATATATTCTGAAATGTGTCCATGGTATGCGGGAAAGACAAAATGAGAATTAAGGAAAAGGATCTTAGATCAATACATTTGCAGTACAATCTGGTGAGCTATTATCACTGATTGGTAGACATGATATTTTGTACCACAATAATAATACCAGATGCATTAACTTCCTTGCATTAGATCGGATACATAAAGACCCATGTGGAGGGGGCTGGGATCATAAAATTCTACAAACTTGAAATGGATTCACAAGCTATGGGCTACTTTTGCTCCTGGCCTGAACGAAGTAGTCACCTAATCACTTTTTATTAATCCTGTATATGTCGGCCTCTAACTTGCTATGTTATTTATTCAGTTATTTTTATAGAATATGTATCTCACTTTATAAGAAACAGCTACTGGATTCATTAGAACTATATATTGTACAATTTGTTATGTCAGTAACTGTTGTATATATAAATTTCTTTGTTGGCATCTTTGGTGTTTACTTGGCCCTTTAATCTTATATTCAGCATTGCACCAACCTGGAGGCCCCCCTTCCTAGTGCTGGTTTTGGTTATCTGGGGATGGCTGGCCTCGAGTTGCACCTTGGTGCATGATAGGCACACATAGGAGTGGGTGAGATCTAAGTTGGGGGAGTGATTGGCCTGTGGCCTAGTTAATATGGCATTAATATAGTAGGAAAACTTTGGCTGATACTAGTCGATAAACATATTTCCATCCGGAACATGGACAATTTTCTGCATTGTGAATTTAATATGTTAATGATTTTTTATAATGTTATCACATAGAAAGCATTGCTAACAGAGGTATTACCTCCCTCTGGCTCCTTCTTTCCTCCATTTTTGTGGATACCTGGATGTTGAGGACCCTAGTATATCCAGCCTTCCTATCTCACAGTTTTAAATGGTACTGTATAGAACATTGCTGTTCACACAAGGTATGTGTCAAATACTGTTTGATAGACTAGAAGTGATTCATATCTGTGTGTAAAATATCTATAGGATGACATTGTGAGTCATGTTGCAGATACTACCTCTATCTCCTGAGAAAGCAGGTTGAATGACCTGAGAAACATGTTGAAATCATCACCTATCAGCCAGGCGAGGTGAAAATCTATGCCCCACATGTTGTATCTGTAAAAGTTTTGAAAAGAGCATGTACAGGAGTTCTACGTAGTATGGTTTTTACATGTATGCAAACAACAGTGTATGATGTTTTAATATTGTGACAAATTACATTTGGATTTTATGAAGATCTGGTTATACTAAGCATGGTGCACTTTAAAGTCCCATTGGTTTGACCTCTTTGAGGTGTCTTTGACCATACAATGTACACAAGGTGACAGACGGGTATTACGTTCATAATATATAATTAATAGTATTGGATGCAAGTATATCTATGTCTACTCTTTTGTTTTTGGATTTGTGTTTCCTTTACCCTGAGATAAATATTTTTTGTTGAAAGTTTTTGGTTGTGCTTATCATCTAATATTATACATTAGATACACCTCATCAAGCACAAATTGCTGTGAAATTAGCCAAAAACCTAATTGTGTTTTCCGTTTTAGTTTGGATTGATCAGTTTAATCACACCATAAATTTATTATGCACATCAGTCTATGAAAGAATATAGACTGAAAGATGACAATGCTGAAAGATGACAAGGAAGCCTATGTCTACAGAGAACTGACTAAAATACAAATGATGTGCACCTACCATTATAACTATAGTTATAACTACAGACTCAGTGCCCTGAATCCTATGCTCACATGCACCCAATGAAGATTATTAGTGTTGGGGCTTATAGTCTCAGCACAGTGGCTTCCAATATTCTCACAATCTGGCAAATATTCCTGAACTGCGACCCTTATATTGTGTGTAAACATATAAAAATAAGTAACATACCTGTATAGCCATTGACATAAATGGATACACCGTTAAAGATATTAGATGACGTTCCTTCATTCTGTTGCTGCACTGGGGCATCCAGATGGAACTGCTGATCTAATTTCTGAACCTTTGCCGACATATATCCACCCTTGAAAATTAGGGAGATTATATACATGTCATTTTTCTGGCATAATGGGAACTAGCCACATCTTTGCCTTTAATTCCAGCTCCAGATAAAACTTTATTTTTAACACATTATTCACATTATGCATTGTGTTAACATGCCTGCATTAATGCAACATGTTACCATACAGTAAGAAAGTCAGCATTAAGACACCCTATTCATTTTAAATGAGGTGTCAGAGCACCTTTTCGGCCAGTGCTATCTTAGCCCCTTCCCGCTCCCATTTAGAGCTTTCCGATCATGTGACAGCCAATCACAGCAGTCACATGACACGAATGCCCACCTCCGTGTCATGTGACCACTGTGATTGGCTGTCACAGCAGTCACATGATTGGAAAGTTCCAGATGGCAAGTATGCATCAGGAACTTACAAATCCCCGCCCGCTACCATGCTGGGAGCGTGCTCTTGACATAATCAATTGTGTATACAGGGCCAAATATATGTGTCTGCGTGGTATTAAGGCCCACCTACCGAGAGGCCACATATAGGCATACGGCCGGCACAAAGTGGTTAATAGCATCATGGGCCTCTAGGCAAAGTATTGCACTGGGGCCCGTACCAGGGAGATGGCGACCTGTGGAGTGTGTAGCATGCTGCAGCAAAAAGTGGGTGTGACTAAATTAAACTGCTATTATGCTACATATTGGGTGTGGCTTTTTAGTCTTAATAGAAATTTTAGCTTAATTTTTTACAATTTAAAAAAAAACTTTTTTTACAACTTTTCACATTTTTTTTTCCACAACGCTGTTGAGTTTTTGGTGCGATATCAAGGGTATAACCAGACCCCTGAAGTCCCACTTTTGAGACAGAGAAAGGAACTGAGAAAACACATTCACCCATTACTTTCTGCAGCCTCAGCTGCACTGCAGATGAATGAACAGGAGACAAAGGCTCCTGTCTGTTCATAAACTGAAGCATAGTAAACACAGTTTATGATACGTCAGTTATGAATGAAAACAGTGAGTACTGATCATTCACTCTATTTATTTAGAAAAGGAAGGGGCCAGTAAATTACATATTTACTGGTCCCTTTCGCTTCTCTCCATCCTGAACCCCCTGTGTGCGCTCAGCCGCTGGTGAGATAGGCGGGAAGAAGGAATCACGGGGGACCCAGAAAGAGGAGGGGAATCTGATAGTGGCCAGGAAGGGGTGATCAGTGTGGCTGGTGGGGGAATTTGCTGGAATGGATCTTTTATGGCTCTCCCTGCAGCAGCTGAAAGCTGGAATCTCCTCCCCTCTCCTGCTGCAGGGAGCCAGCCAGAAAAGATTGCTTCCTCTAATTTCCCCCACCCGCCACACTGATCAGCAGCTCTGTTCATATGCAATTCCCCCTGCTGGGGGAGGGGGACTGCAATAGTTCCCCATGCACCAGGAGTGCCTGTGCAATAAGTCATCCTTGTTTTCAGCTGCTGTAAAATTGAGTTGGGGTACCAGTCATAACGAAACACACTGCAATGTTCCGTGGTTTGTGCTTTATCATACATATTCTTTAAAGCAGCAGTACAGTTTGTTTTTTATAAATTTGATGACAGACAGGATATTTATGACAGAAGAGACCCTATCGGTCTCTTCTGTCATAAATGCTTCCTGTCTGTCAGTTGTCATGTACACTGAACTGCACATGCGCATCTCAGCAAGAATTTACGGCCCCATCTGTACCACTGCGATGTGATTCCCGTGTGCACCCTCAAGGAGGACTGGGCGAAGATGGAAATGGCCGGGACCCGCCAGACTGATCACAACACAGCACTAGAGGGCTCGATTTGACAGGTAGGTCTGCCATAATGTGCTAATAAGCTGTGCATAAGAGTACGGCATAACCCACCTGGGGCCCCCTAAAAAGAAGTAATGTTGGCAGAGTTTACTACCGCTCTACCCTACCAATATAAAATGGCCATTAAAGCCTGGTACAAAACACCGTAAGTCCAGGCTGAATGTAAAAAAAACTGAGATCACTGTATTAACACAAGCAATGTTAGTACAGCGATCTCCCCTGCTGTGCTACTGTGTTGTGACAGGGGACTGTCCCTCTGCCCTCCTGCCAGAACACACTGATTAGCACTCGCAGCCATTAGCAGAGAGCGCTGATCGGATGCCAGCATGCCCATTCGACAGAAGCCGGTCTTTTAGCATAATGGATTTCTAGCCTGAATCAACAATCTAACTAATATCAAACAATCATCCAGCAGAAAGTTTCTGTTGAGATCAGCTGAAAGGGATGAGTTGGCTAGCAAACATTACTTGTGCTACATATCTTATAGGGGAACAACAGGGATTGGGGCAGATTTTCTAACCTGCTTGACTGAATGTACTTACAAACAGGTGGTCAATAATGTTAGGGGCCTCCTGTAGGCATGGGAACAGCAAATATGACAGTTATCTGATGCTGATTAGTATCCTTAATGTAGCTAAGGTGCAAGTTAAACAATGTTTTACTTTTTCAAGACCCAATGCTGCAGTTAAGACATACCCAGGCACCCCAGCCATCACTGTTGCTGGCATGATTCCTCCACCCTCCTCGACGCATTGTGCAGCTTCTGATGAAAAAAAATATACATACATATATTAGTCATTTTCAAAGTATTCTTAAAGTGTAACTAAAAGGAAAAACATTACATTTAGAGTGAAGAGGGATTATAACCCCTGTCAGTTTTTTTGTCTGTGCCCCCGTTATGGAGATTCACCTTCTCTATTTGTCCTATTTACCGTTATCACCGAAAGTGAAAGTAAATGAAAATCCCAAAATTTGGGTTTGACACCAGGACAGTAATAGAGGGATATTCTTCCAATAAGGACACAGTTGATACTGCGGGATTCCCGCAGTTTGGAGGGATTTCTTCACACTTCCTGTTTTGGCTATAGGACGGGAGTCCCATAGGGGGGCTATGGGACATAAAAAAAACTGACAGCGGTTGTAACCCTTCCTTACTCTATCCAAAAATGTTGCCTTTAGTTACACTTTTATTTTAATTGCAACAAATTATTAGTTTCATTTTCTAACAGTGATATTTTTTAAAATGCTGTACCTTCTGCACACAGGAACAAGTATTCTACCAAACAATGAAGGCTATGGAATACAAGGTCAGAATAAATACCAACAAAGTCCCTGGTAGAAAGTGGATATGAAGCTAGTTATGAAGATAAATGTAACATGCCAGCTGTAAATAGATAGCATTTTTTCTCTCTTTCCTCAGCACTTCTTTGACTTTTTCATAAACAAGGTCCACTGAGGCTCCATTTACACTAGGGCGTTTTGATTCCACTCACAATTTGAAAACGCACTGTGAAAATGTGTGATCGCAAGACTTTTTTTTTTCGTGATCGTGGCGCGTTTGTTGCGTGGAAAATTAGCAGCAATCGCGGCAAAAAAACACGTGATCGAGCGTTTTCACATTTCACAGCGTGTTTTCAAATCAAGGGCAGAATTACAGTGATTCCACCCGCAATTTGAAATGCCCTAGTGTGAATGAAGCCTGAAAGATGCTAATTTACATAGACAGAGGAAAAGAGAATTAAAAACAAGTGAAGAGTTAAAACTAGAAGTGATTCTAAAGCTAAAACGTTTCTTTTTCTTAATTTATTGCCTGCATTAAGGTAAAAAGCTTTTACCACTTACTGTGCTTCTCTTCCCCCCCCCCCCCCCAAAACTCTTACCCAAGCCCACTTTTGATCCAGCGCTCTGCCTGGCTGCATTTTTTCTCCCTTCACTCCCTGCTTTCACAGGAGGCACTGAGAGCAGCGGGAGCCATTGGCTCCTTCTATTCTCAGTCAAATTCTATGAGCAGAGAACAGGGGGTGGGGCCAAGCTCTGCTCTGTGTGTCTATGGATGCTAGGGAGCGTGCCCCCATAGCACACGGCTTTGAAAATCCAGGCAGTATTTCCACTGAATTTCTATTCATTCTTCTACCTTTTTCACTTATCTCCACCTATACAAAGCATGTCCCGGATGCAGGTGACATTTAAAGTTTGCATTCCCAGGAAAAGGATTTGCATTTCTGTCTATTCAGTCCAGTCCATTTACACAGCCCCCTGCATACCATTTACACTCTGGGTACAGTAGTGTCCCCTCTCCACTACCAGCCTTTTGACAGGACAGCAACGGCACAGCAGCAGACTGAAGATGTCATACTTTGCCCTCCTGTCAGCACATTTGAATGCAGCACACCTCACTGTCAAGAGGCTGATGCAAAATCTAAGCCCTGGTTCACATCTCCCTGCGGCTGCTATACTCGTGCACAGCAGCTCATTCTGTATCCACTGAAAACACAGAGAAAAGGTCCCTGCAGCTTTTCTGAAAACATGGCCACAGGGAAACCTCATAGTGAAGTGCGTGGAAACCAAGCTGCGGTTTTCAGTGCATTAGGGTGCCAATAGGATTAATGGTACGCATCTCCTGAGTGGCAGCGCATTTTTCTGTGTGGGTGGTTGTGGCTGCGAGCCGCAACCACCCACATATGGGCCATTCAGGCACTTATGCAAGTTGCTTTTGATGATCATGCATAAAGACATGGCAACAATAATTGGTGTTATTTTTATGTCTGCCTTTAGCTTGGTTTTAATCTGCGCACTAACATATTCTTGTTCATTATGTTAAAATATTTTGAAAATAACGGCCATCATCTTTCATAACAATTACTGTTAAAAAGTCCTTCTGATATTTAAAGATGTATTCATATGTATTAAGTAAACCTGCACAGTAAAGTTTGTATCAAAACAGATTGATAAATTACTTACAGTCTTATCTTGTAAAAGCTGCTGGCTCTCTCTAAAGCCTCGTACACACAATGAGGATATTGGATAAAAAATACCACTTTGGAAGCAATCGTACAATAATCTGTTTAGTACACAGCTTTCGACAGCTGTTCATGATAGTTCATGACAAATTATCTGAAGGAACAAACACTAAAATTTTTCTCGTACGATACCAGAATGAACGATTTTTTTTTAATCAGTACAGTATTCATTCAAAAAAAAAAAGACCAAAAGCGAAATACATTACAATACAATGTATTACATCCCATTACTTCCAAAGTTGTATTCCATCATACGAGAATTTTGTAACTTTAGTAACCTCTTCATTTTCGATATGAGACTAACATGCAAAAAAAAAAAAAAAAAAAAAAAAGGGATGATCATTTGTCCAATATTTTCACCATGTGTACGAGGCATTACTCAGCACTGTTTCAGCAATGGGGAGCACTAACAAAGGTTGAAACTAAAAGGACACATGACCGATCTACTGCATTCCAAAAAACATAAAAACGAAGTAAAAACAATTACTTGCATTTGGTATATACAGTTTTTTATCCATCTACATTGCTGGCAACATCTGATATCTATTACCGGCTGCCATTTAGTCCAGGGCAGGAGTGTGCTTGTAAGGGTGGCTCCAGGGAATCCCAGAATCCAGTGGATCCACTCTACAAACGGAACCTGAGGAGACTCAAAAGGCAGTTAATATGAGTGAGGGGCTGCAAAAAGAACATGTAGGGGCCAAAGTATACTGCTGAATACCACTTTTTAAAAGGAGGGTTTATTAACACTTTAAAGCAGAATTCCGGGAAAAAAGTATTTTGCCCATTCAGTGGGGCTGTGCCAGCACTGCACAGGTCAAATGCTTGTTTTGTTCTAGAGGAGAGGACACTGAAGATACTGAAGATATACTTGCCTGACCCACCGATCCTCCCCATACAAGACTGGTCCTTTCAGCTCCTGCCCCCCTGTGGTCCAGCAGTCTTGTAAATGGGCTGCTCAATGCATGCTCCATAGACAGGTACAGTCCACCACTGGACTGTGGGGGGAGAACAGTTTTCCGTAGGATCGGAGGGTCAGGTGAGTATGAGATTTGTCCTCACCCCTAGAAAAAACAAGCAGCTGATCCATGCAATGGGGCACAGCCCCACTGCATGGTAAAGAAAAAACATTTTGACTGGAGTTCTAGCTTAACATAAGTTGATGGTGTCTATTGAGTTTGTCAAACATTTATTAAATAGGATTATGGTTAACTACAAACTGGTGAACCTGCTCCACAACTCAAAAATAAATTTGACAAAACATAGATATAATGTCCATTATATAACCGGTGGGGACGAGGAGGAGTGACTCCCCTTCTCTTGTCTTATTGGTTATCACCTTTTTCTTCTTTCTCTATCCTTTTTTCCCCTGCTCTCAGACTCTTACAGGGGTTAGGCAAAAAAATGGAAACATTACATGATTTTCAGGTGTGAAAGTGACAATATGTCTCATGTTGAAAGTAGAAACTTTATGTTGTCACTTCCATTTTTAATGTGGAGCAAGTCGTCACTTTCACACCTGCAAATCATGTAATGTTTCTATTTTTGTCTAAGACCTGTATGTAGGTTTATAATGGTTAGTCCTACCTATGTTTGCTTGTGCCTTCTTTGCGGTCTCATTGTGAGAACAGAAATCTCTCTCCATCCCCTTTTTTGGGATAGTCTACATATAAAAGCCAGCCATAGATACATTGAAAGAATTTCGATCCATATATGGGCAGGCTGGTTGTTACCAAAGTCGATCTATCAATCGACTTCAATACAACCAGCCTGGCTTTTTTTTGTTCAATCGATGCAGGCAGGTATAGCAATTACAGTAGTCTGGTGTCTGAAAAATCTCACGCTATCAGAATACAATACTGCAGCAGGAGGGATTCCCCCCCACATCAACACTGAATGTGTTGATGGGGGTAATCGAGCGATTTTTCTTTTCTTCAATGTATGGCCTTCCAAAGGATTAAGTGGGGTTGATTTAGTAAAGATAGTGCACTTTGCCAGTGTAGTTGCAGTCATTTTCCCCAAAGCTTAGTAAATGCGGTGAAATTCCACTTTGTAAATACCCGATCAGATGTAATGAAAATGTAAAAAAAACTTGCACATGATTGGATGATGGAAATCAGAAGAACTTCACCTCATTCACTAAACTCTGGGGAAAAGTGTGGAACTACACAACCTATTTGCCTTTAGGCCCTGTTCACATTGGGAAATTTGAAAATGCTACCAGAACCACCATGTTTCTGCCCGCAATTCCAAATTGTGGCAAAACATGCAACGTGTGTTTGGGTGCCATTGTTCTTAATGGCACCCCAAATGTGGTGTAATTGTACAGTGACTGCCATGTGGCAATCACAGCAAAAGGCACGCTTAAAAATCGTGCTAAGCGTGTCATCCAAACAGGAGCAGGAGCCTCTTTTGGGCAACAAATGCACATAGGGCAGCCCACTGAAGTGAACGCATGTTAGCTGCTCTTTGAAAAAAGCAAGCGGGAACGCTTGTTACTGCAACACAATGGGATTGATTTATTAAAGGTAAATATACTGTGCACTGCATGTGCACTTCAAGTGCAGTTGCTTTATATCTGAGGGGAAGCTCTGAAATGAGGCAAAGCTCTGCTGATTTCTTTCATCCAATCATGTGCAAGCAAAAATGCTGTTTTGTTTTTTTCTTGCATTCGCCCCTCAGATCTACAGCAACTGTGCTTTCAGTGCACTTCCAAGTGTAATTGGAGTGCAC